ATTAGTCCATAGATTAGTCAAAAAATTAGTCAATAAACTTATCAATAGATCGATGGGTATATAGACTAGTCTATGAACTATGGACTAGTAATCTTAGTATATGATCTACTATATGAAGAAGTATATGGACCGCTTTACAGACTATTCTACTGAATTATCTGTAGTCTTATTTGTAGACTAGATTTACTAGTCTATAGAATGAAGGTTACTTCATAGATTTGACTATAGGCTCATGGACTAGACAATTTTGCAGTTAGTCGATAGAATAGTCCATAGATTAGTCCATAGAATATTCAATCGACTAGTCGATAGACCTTTCTATGGACTAGTCGATACACCACTCTATAGACTAGTGAACCTACGGACTGCTCTGCGGAGTAGTCGACTGACTAATCTAGAGTCTAGTCCATAGACTTGTTTACGAACTAGTACATAGAATGATGAACAGTACATAGACTAGACTGTAGCCTACTCAGTCCCGTAGTCCATAGATCAGTCCGTAGAGTATTATACAGAATAGACTAGTCTATGAACTAGGTTTACTAGTTCACACTAGTTCACTAGTTCAATCCAGTAGTGCATATATATTAGTCCGTAGACTAGTCCATAGATAAGTATATAGACTAGTCCATAGATTAGTATATATACTAGTCTAGATTAGTATCTAGACTAGTCTAGATTAGTCCATAGACTAGTCTAGATTAGTCCATAGACTAGGTTTACTAGTTGATAGATCAGTCAATAGATTAAACAAATAATTAGTCAATAAATATATCAATAGATCGGTGGATATATGGACTAGTCTATTGACTAATCGATTGACTATTCTATGGGCTAGTAACCCTATGATTTTATACAGATATCAATGGACTACTCTACGTATTATTCTATGGACTAGTCTGGATAGACAAAAATTTATTTCGTACTTTTAATACCTTTAAAAATACTTTTCTTGATAAAAGTCATGACAACTTTTTTATCCCTTATTTATCCCTTATTTATCCCTTATTATGGAGAACAGCATAGGGATGAAAAGAGTTATCTGTGGGAATTCGAAAATCGGTTTAGAACCATTTTAAGTATTTTTGAACAAAATTATTGTATATTTTGTTCCTCAAATTACTTTCAATTACCTTCCAACAAATTCTACCTCTCTCAGACAGGTATCGGCAAAAAAGCTCTCTGAATAAAACAAATTCATTACATGTAATATATAGCAAGAGAAAACATACTTAGAAAGTTCAAAAGAGAGCTCTTTGCCAATACCTGCTCTAAACAACAAAATAAGCATTACACAAATTCCAGACATTAACCCTTGACTACTCTCGTCGTATGTAGGACTCGTTGCTAGTAAAACTTTATTATCAAAACAGAAGAAAAACTAAAAGCAAACCAAAAAAAAAAAAACACTTTTTGTTAGAGATTAAGTTGTAAATATTTTAGTTATTAAATAAAATACTATAATTAAAAAAGAAAATTAAAAAAAAAAATAATCTATTTAACACTTGAAAAACTAAATCCTTTAGTAATTGTTAAAGAATGACTAAAACTACAAGAACTATTAAATAAATTACCTTTTTTAAAAATCAAACAATGACAATTTCATAAAAATTTTACAAAACTATTTATAATAATTTTAACTTTTTCATACGAAAAATAAATAATTTACCAAAATCTTTTGTGGCTGCTGGTGGGCGAATTTAATAAAAACTATCTTTATTTATAAATACTTATTAAATATTAAGAGTTATAGCTAAAAACAATAGTTTATTACTTATAATTGTTTATTTATTATTGTATATAAATTGATGTTTTATTTTTGTTGTTGTATGGGGGGAAAGGGGGAAGGAGCGGGAGCAAAAAGGGGGGGGGGGAGAGGGAGGGAAGAGAGAGGGAAACAGGGGAAAGGAGAGGGAGGAAGGGGGCGGGGAAAAGAGAGGGGGAGGGAGGAAGGGCAAAGGGGCAGAAGGGGAGAGAGGAAAAGGGGGGAGGGCCAAAAGAGGGCAAAGGGGAAAAGGGGAAGGCGGGGCGGAGAGAGAGAAAAAGGAAGAGAAGACGGGAAGAAGCGGGGGAGAGAGCAGACCAACGAACAAAGGAACGAAGGAACGAAGGAACAAGGAACGAAGGAACCAAGGAACGAAGGAGAAGAACGAAGGAACGAAGGAACGAAGGAACGAAGGAACGAGGAAGGAACGAAGGAACGAAGGAACGAAGGAAGAAGGAAACGAAGGAACGAAGGAACGAAGGAACGAAGGAACGAAGAACGAAGAACGAAGGAACGAAGGAACGAAGGAACGAAGAACGAAGGAACGAAGGAACGAAGGAACGAAGAAAAACGAAGAACGAACGAACGAAGGAACGAACGAACGAAGGAACGAACGAACGAAGAACGAAGGAAACGAACGAACGAAGGAACGAAGGAACGAAGGAACGAAGGAAACGAAGGAAACGAAGAACGAAAACGAACGAACGAACGAACAAACGAACGAACGAACGAACGAACGAACGAACGAACGAACGAACGAACGAACGAACGAACGAACGAACGAACAACGAACGAACGAACGAACGAACGAAAACGAACGAACGAACGAACGAACGAACGAACGAACGAACGAAAACGAACGAACGAAACGAAAAACGAACGAACGAACGAACGAAAGAACGAACGAACGAACGAACGAACGAACGAACGAACGAACGAACGAACGAACGAACGAACGAAACGAACGAACGAAGAACGAACGAACGAACGAACGAAGAAGAACGAACGAACGAACGAACGAACGAACGAACGAAACGAACGAACGAACGAACGAACGAACGAACGAACGAACGAACGAACGAACGAACGAACGAACGAACGAACGAAGAACGAACGAACGAAACGAACGAACGAACGAACGAACGAACGAAGAACGAACGAACGAACGAACGAAACGAACGAACGAACGAACGAACGAACGAACGAAAACGAACGAACGAACGAACGAACGAACGAAACGAACGAACGAACGAACGAACGAACGAACGAACGAACGAAAACGAACGAACGAACGAACGAACGAACGAAAACGAACGAACGAACGAAACGAACGAACGAACGAACGAACGAACGAACGAACGAACGAACGAACGAACGAACGAACGAACGAACGAACGAACGAAACGAACGAACGAACGAACGAACGAACGAACGAAGAACGAACGAACAAACGAACGAACGAACGAAAACGAACGAACGAACGAAACGAACGAACGAACGAACGAACGAACGAACGAACGAACGAGAACGAAACGAAAAAAAACGAACGAACGAACGAACGAACGAACGAACGAAACGAACGAACGAAACGAACGAAAACGAACGAACGAACGAACGAACGAACGAACGAACGAACGAACGAACGAACGAACGAACGAACGAACGAACGAACGAACGAACGAACGAACGAACGAACGAACGAACGAACGAACGAACGAACGAACGAACGAACGAACGAACGAACGAACGAACAAGAACGAACGAACGAACGAACGAACGAACGAACGAACGAACGAACGAACGAACGAACGAACGAACGAACGAAACGAACGAACGAACGAACGAACGAACGAACGAACGAACGAACGAACGAACGAACGAACGAACGAACGAACGAACGAACGAACGAACGAACGAACGAACGAACGAACGAACGAACGAACGAACGAACGAACGAACGAACGAACGAACGAACGAACGAACGAACGAACGAAAGAACGAACGAAAGAACGAACGAACGAACGAACGAAACGAAAACGAACGAACGAACGAACGAACTAACTAACTAACTAACTAACTAACTAACTAACTAACTAACTAACTAACTAACTAACTAACTAACTAACTAACTAACTAACTAACTAACTAACTAACTACTAACTACTAACTAACTAACTAACTAACTAACTAACTAACTAACTAACTACTAACTAACTAACTAACTAACTAACTAACTAACTACTAACTACTAACTAACTAACTAACTAACTAACTAACTAACTAACTAACTAACTAACTAACTAACTAACTAACTAACTAACTACTAACTAACTAACTAACTAACTACTAACTAACTAACTAACTAACTAACTAACTAACTACTAACTAACTAACTAACTAACTAACTAACTAACTAACTAACTAACTAACTAACTAACTACTAACTAACTAACTAACACTAACTAACTAACTAACTAACTAACTAACTAACCTAACTAACTAACTACTACTAACTAACTACTACTAACTAACTAACTAACTACTAACTAGCTAACTAACTAGCTAACTAACTAGCTAACTAACTAGCTAACTAACTAACTAACTAACTAACTAACTAACTAACTAACTAACTAACTAACTAACTAACTAACTAACTAACTAATTGACTCGTCCATACATACGCGATTCGATTATGGAGTAAAATATTGGAATAAATTCGACTTTTTGAAGGTCTTTTTATATAGTCGATCTTTATTGTTTGATGTATAACGGTTATAAAAATCCAAATATTTATCAACGCAAACTTCTCCTTAATATTGCTCAATTATTTTATATAAAAGTATTACCTAAGTTGCATGATTTTATTTATTATAACCTCTTCATTTCCAAACATTACCCTTATATTTGTAGTATTGTAGTATAATTTCCCCAGAAATATATTATTTCCTTTTTTATTTGGTAGATGCACCCTCTAGAAAAACGCTTTAATTAGATACAAACTAACAAAATTTAAAAATTCCAAAAAAATGCATAATTTTCAAACACTTCTATGTTTTTTATGTGTTTTATACTTTCTTAAACTAAAAATTAAATTCTTAAATGTTTAATTATAATTTTGAAAAAAAAAAATCTAGAAAAATAACAAAATGTCTATTTAAAAAAAGAAAAATAATTAAAAAAAATTTGTATTAATATAACTATTATTTTATGCTCTTTTTTTCCTTTCATGCATTAGGTTCGCCCTCACCTCGCAAAAAACGCAACAATTCTACACCGGTTAAGAAAAATGCCGCCGAAAAGAAACAAATTCTACAGCAATTAGTTTCACCAGCCGCTCAACAGGCCAAGCCTAAAGTAAGTTTAGGAGAATTGATCTCAATGTCAGAGAATCGTTTGAGAGCCAGCAATGTAGATTCAGAAAGTGATCTTAAGGAAACCACATTTTCGGAAAATACCGGCTCTTTAACATCAGCCACTGTGGAGAGAGCCATTAATGATCCAAAACTCGAAAAGAAGGTGACATTTGCCCGTTTGCTGAATAAAGTTTCAGCTGAAATGAGTTCTGGTTCCGAGGTAGATATAGGAACAATGGCGGTAAGCTTAATATATTTTAAGCTATCGTCCCAGTTTCTTATGTATAATATTATTTTTTTTCAATTATTTTAATAATTTTTTTCTTTTTTTTAATTTATTTACTTTTCTTTAATTGTTTTCCCCCCACAACAAGGGCAATGATTCTCAGGCAAAAACAAAGAGTCATTACATACGGACTCACAACAGCAATGAAGAAGAGAATGAAGCTTTTCTTTAATCTTTAAAAATAAAAACCTACAAAAAGTATAACCAAACAAAGAGAAAGAGAGAGCGAAACAAATTTCTCATTATTACAAAATCAATTTGTTATTACCAAAGCACTTTGATCAAAATTTTAGCATACAATTAGAAAATTTCATGCTGCACTTTTAAATCATTTCTAACGATCTTTATATGGTTACATACTATCATTAGCCTAGACACAAACCATTTCTCACTTACACAAAATATGTAGTTGAAACTAAACACTCTACTTTACACTCTCAACTGTTTGTCTGGGAATCACCCTGTGTTGAAATTGTCTTTTTTATATAATTTTTTTATTATTAACGTTTTCAAAATATTATATTTTTGGTAATACATACTTGCTTTAATATATATAGTTGATTCACTAACTTTTACTGCGGTGAATAAATAGTTTCATTAGGATATATTTACGAAACGTACGATACTATTTTCATCATTTTAACAATATACTTCTTTGATTTGCTGATTTACTTTTACTACAATCAGTGATCTTTAAACTTATCACTAGGATCACCATGTTCAAAATACATAAATTTGACCAAATCTTGATATAGTTATCATCATGCAAAATTGAAGTTGATCTGTCAAATACTTAATGCTGTTTTTGACATTTAAGAAATCTGCTGTGTTAGTAAGATCTTTTCAAGATATGAATTTAGCCAAGACACTATTAACAAGTAAGCGAAGACTCAACTCATTGCTAAATAATCAATTGTCAATAGAAAGCAAATTATATTTGGGGGTTTCGAAGACTAACCATGACTAGTGATCGATCATTGATCATAGCAAGTTAGTTTTTCATTATAAGTATTTCGATTGACTTATTATTTGATGATTAGCAATGACTGACATGATCACTCCATTTATCCTTTTTAGACTCAAATATCCTCTGACAATCCAATTACTGATACAACATTTATCTGTAGGATACGTTATCGTCGCTACTGATCTACCATGATTAACGGCTGTTATTGCGCAAACTGATGCATTAAAGCAGGATGACTTGTACTCCCAAGAGGAAAGCTCATGCGAAAATTAATTTTTCTTTTAACTAATATTCCAATTTGGTGACTGGCAGTGATCAACAAGATCACCACATTTATACGCTCTAGACTACTTTTAAGATCATCTTCAAAACCTTCGTGTTTTTTGGCAACCTTCATCCAAGATTCTAGATAAATCAAAAAATAAGCTTTCACAGAAGCTTTTTATGGCTTTCTTTATGATCTTTAAAGAGATTTGCGGTACTGGCGGATTTCACGCTCCCTTTAAGAAAATTAACTACAAAGTGACTATAGTACTACTATTCGGAAACAAAGATCATCCTCGTACTTGTCGTTCAACTTTTTCGGTCATGATCTTAAGAACACCATTTTAAAGGATGTACTTATCAATGATTGACTTCGTTGTGATAACCAAAGGGTCATCGTGAAAAACTTCTGCAAAAGTCGTTACGATAAGAAATCTGAAAGACATGGCAATGTATTGTCCAGGAATTTCAGATATTACCTGTCCTGGTTTATCCCAGAATAGTCATATAAAGCCCTTATCAACCTCGAGACTTGAAAAGTGAAATCATTTGATCACATTGAACTTGCTGCTAAAGTTAATTCTCAACAAGTAACTTAGAAATGTGAGAGAGATGATTAAATGTCCTGATCAGTTCATCAGCTATACAGTCACCTTTTTTATTCCTAAGACCCGAGACTTATACTAGCGTAACCCAAAAATGTCTCTATGATTAATTCAGATGTCGAAAAGACACCCTATTATGAAAATCGTCCTAAAAAATAAGAATTTGAACAAAATCCAGCCATTGCTTTAAAATTCTAGGACCAATTTCTTAAAAAAGATCCCCAGATTCAGATTCCAAACAAATGCTTAAGTTGCACTTAAGCACTTTATAGCTAAAAAATTAACGAATATTAACTCAGCCAAACTAATAATTGTCTAGCGTAGAAAAACCACACCCTGTAAATAACTACTTAACTTTTTTTTTAAATAAAAATAAATTCTCTTTTTGCAAAACAGGCAACTCGTAATTCTAGTGCTCTTAGCCTGCCAACTGACATACAAATGCGAGCAAGTTCTATGCCACCATCACCCTGCACGAACGATATGCGTTCACCACACAGCACATCATCTACGCACGGCAGTGATTCATTTTCAAGTTCCGATCTGGCACTAACCGATTTTGGTCTGCGTTCAATACAAACCAGTGGCAGTGAAATGGGCAGTACAACAAATAATCAACTTAGCGGTTTGCCTTCGGGCATGCCAGCACGCTGTCGCATCGGTTCGCCGGCGCGTCCTAAAGTTTCTAGTGCCGACTCAATACTCGCCATGTTTCGTAATTTTGCCAATGCAGCTGGCAATGCATCGAATACAACAACTAATACAATGCCATCAACGACTTCGGTCTTTGTTTCGCCCTCAACAACGCCCACCGTTTCGAGTCCACAGGATGATGCACCCGGTGATGATGAGTCATCTACATCCTCCATGCATACACCGGTTAGTTTCTCTAGTGGTGCTCCCGATTCACCGGTGTTCTATCGTCAAACCACCATCGAAGTGCCTGTATTAGATGTTCTAAATGCGCACAAAACATCGACGACCTCTACGTCGTCATCATCATCGTCGAATCTATTGCACCCACCGACAATATTGCTTGAAATACCGAGCATTAACAATAAGTGTCTTTCGCCTATAAGAGAGATGCCAACGCCAATACCATCGCCGGCTCTAACACCGATAATGACAAGACCTCAACGTTCGAATAGTCCCATATTCCAGGAAGATCCCTCATCCGGTGGAGACTTTAGTGATGATGACGATAAGAGTGATCGTAGTGATACTCAGTTATCGGTAAGTATTTTAAGAGAGAATATTTGTTTCTGTTAGAAGTATCGAGCATGTTTTACCAACAAGATATATTTTCGTATTAACTGTTTCATTTATGTACGTGCGATAAATTTTAGAATACTTAGAAGAATTGAGGAAGATCATACTGTATTGATGGTGAAAATTTTTATTGCATTCATTTCATATGTTTAGTTTGGAAATTTTCGCTAATTTCCTGCAGCCTTTCATATTCGTTTATCATATCCAAAAATTGCTAGGATAAGTATAGATCATAGTCCATTGTATTTGAATCCAATTAAAAACAGGTTTATTAGGAACTCCATAAAGGAAACTTGATATATTTTAGCTTCTAGACTATTTAAGTAATTCGTGCTCCTTCTTTAACTCCTTATATAAAGGGGTATCCAATGTAATAACTGTACTTAGGGATCATATCAAAAATTTGGCAATCAAGATTGCGATTTTGTGAATCTCCCGATTCCCAAGGAGAATCAACCGCTACATATACCAAAATTTTATTAGATTTTTTAATTACAGATTTTTGAACAAACATATGTCTATATATCAAGATTCTAATCTGTAAAAGATAAGGTCTGAGCTTTCCCTTATGTGTTTCGGACGATCCGTTAATTACGCACTCGTTAAAAAATTAACTTTCCTAAATGCGCTCATGACCTACACTTTTAACGTAGAAGTTGAGACCAACATCGCCCAATTATGCGCACTTATCGTGTTGCAGACTGAGATCGTGTTTGTACTTAAATATGTACTCGGTCCTCTGAGATAACATGTTTTATACAACAACTATCCTTTTACTGCACAATTGGGTTCAATTTTATTTTCCCGAATATACCATTCCATGATCTTATTATGTGATATTGGAGAGCAAGACTGTCCTAAGTCCAAGTATGATTAGATGTTTAATTTTTGATATCTTCTTGCTGCCATATTGGTGGCGTCAATTTCAGCCTGAAAACATCACTGACTGAGAGCATGTCGTTCCTTGATGTATATAGTATATAATCATCGATATGACCAATGCTCTAGCCTCATGATCAAGTCTGAATGTAGTCTCATTGTTCTTGATTGGTCTAAGATATTAAACTTGTTCAATATAGACAAATGTGTTTTGATTTCCATAACACAGAATGGGCAATATGACATCTATGTAATTAAAATATAAGGTTTGGAATCAGAACCTTCATTCTCGTCATCCTTCAACCTATAAGAAGTATTAATGTTTCGATACTGCTTTTCGTAAAATTTGCTTTATGGTTTCATAAATGTGATTGAAATATTCTGAGAAATCCATGACTGTAATAGGTTAAGTCGATAGGAGGATCAGAAGCGAAAAAAAAACAATATCGTCCAATGTTCAGAAATCTAGTTTCATCGACCTAGTTTATAGAATAGCATTGCTCCGAAGATATATCGATCTATATTTCGATGAAAATGATGACAGAATATCTGTTCCAGCATTTCTCTGTTCTCTCCTCATGCTCTATAAACGTCTGAATCTGTTCGCCCAAGTTGGTTTCGTCATCCTGGGAGTCCACAAGAAAACTTCATTCGTTGCGGTCTACATTATATCTCTTCTACTTATGTGAATAATCATTTAGCCCTCTTGGCATTGTACGGTTTTACAGCCCTCGTTGGATTGAACGGTTTTACATTGAACAGATTAACTGTATCAAGCTCCCTTCTTTTTATAAAAAGTACATCCGTATAATCTGGTATCAATAGGAAGCAGAGCTTAAAACTGGAAGACTATTCAGTCTAAAATCATGATATGAACTCTATTTTACTTCTTATAGGATTACTAAGGAACGTTAGATAGTGCCGATATTCCAATATTGATCAAGTCAAAAGGAGGATATATTACACATCCGATTTTTATTAATCTTAATTATATCCAAATAGAGAAATTATCGTAAAAGTCACATAAAGCATTTCATCAAACATTTTCATTACCAACCCATTTACCAAGCTTTTTACTGCTACCAAGCTTGCATACCTACAGCTCCAGACATAAACATACATATTTTTAATACAATTTACTTAATATTTCCCAGGTTGATTCGGATTGCGGTATTGTTATAGAGTTTGGCAAAAAGCATGAAATACGAAGATGGTTCAGTTGAAAGGCAATAAATGAATTAATTATTTTGTTGAATATTAGTTGGTTTAAAGTTCCTTTTTTTTTTTTGCAAAAGAAAACCTTTCCAAAAGCTAGATTATAGTTAGAACAGATAGTGACACATAAAGCTTAAAAAATATTCTAAATACACACAGCTGTTTGTTATAAGCAACACTTTTACAAACTTAAAAAGCTAAAAAAATTTTCTTTGTTTTCTTTAAAACTAATCTATTTCAAAGGAAAAACTGAGAATTGGACTGCAACGTGAAAAATCCCGTCTACTCGATACGGATGTAGAGACAACACCGACCGATACCACCACAACATCGATGGCAAACTTGAATAAGCCAATTGGTGGCCTCAATTACAAAATACCCAAATTGAGTTTTACACCAGCCATAGCCACAGCTGCACCCATGCAAACACCCGCCATTACCATAGACATAGAACCGCCCACGCCAGAGGAAAAACAAGCCAGACCCAGAGATTTGATTATACCCACATTGACCGTAGAACAACCCAGTCCCACAAAGAATCGTCATCCAATGATTATATTTCCGGGATCACCACCACCACAACGAGCCAGCATAGGTGAAACCAGTTTTATGTTTCCAAATAAACAACAACAAAAAAGGTATACAAGTAGAGACACAATGTTACCACATTTACTGTTCACTGTTCACAACTCTAGGTTGTTGTTTTGTATGGCGCTCAGAAATCAATTTTGAACTCAAATCAAACATTTATCCATTAACCAAACTACTAGTTTCTTGTTTTTAACTTTAATAACTATGATTAACAGTCATTTTAACTAATTTAACCAGTTGTTTTCTTTTTTGAAGTAATTTTTTTTTTAATTTTTGTTGTTTTGGTACCCAGAAGTTGAAAAGTACTCTTTTGAGAAAGTTAACATATGGTAGTAGAAAGTGCTTAATTTCATTTTTTATAATTTATGTTGTATGTTAATTGTATATATATATTCCTTCTTTTGTCTTTAGTAGAGATCGTAGCTCCATACATGCCTTCGTAGAGCCTAGATGAATTTTTGACTTTGATTAATTACTTACAAACTTACTACATAATAAAAAAAAATACATTTGAACTTGCAACATGTTGTGTTTCCTCTTTGTATATAATTTTATGTTTAAAACAAACTTTTCCTTTAAGAAATTAAATTAAAAAAAAAGAAAAGAAAATAATTATATAAAGCTCTCTTTGCCTTTAACTATCTCTGTCTTTCTAACGCTTGCAGTTTGAGAGTTAAGAGGCGAATTTTGCTATAATTTTAAAATGTTTTTATTCGTAGGCTCTTAAAACAATTTGAGAAACCCACTTCTTTGGATTTCCCTTTTGCGCCGCCTACAATAACGGTAACAGCGAATATGAGCGAATTGGAATCGGACACAGAACCACTGTCACCCGCTCCGAAAACTGGTGTCAGTGGGGGTTTAATGCCTCCCAATCCGGTGGGTATGTGTTACCTAAGTCCGTTTACCATGTGTACTCGAGCGGATCGCACCATATCCGAGAGTAATTTAAGCTCATCGGGTTACTCGAGCATGGCTAGTCCGGGACCAAGCCGTTGTGGCTCTAGTAATCCTTTATATCCCAATGAAATGGATGAACCGGGCAGTGGTCACTCGGGACCGGGACTCTCTTTGCATGTTAATCTGCTAAATAGACGTAAATCATCTATGCTGCCCAGCTGTAAAGAGAACATCAGTAATGGCAAGTGTACAGGTCCTGCGGCAGGTGCTAACACTGATCGTTTGCATACGCATCGTCCTCGTTCCGATTCGGAAACTTTTTCCGATGATATACTCATAGAATCCAATGACGAGGGCATAGGCACAGATCATGTTGACGAAAAGTTAGATGATACCCGTTTAAGTTCGCGTCGCTTTGATATGTTCCTCGACGATGAGATACTAATCGAAGTTGATGAACCGCCTACCACCACCCTGCCCCCTACAACAGCGCCACTGCTAGGTGGCAACAACTTACTTAGCAACAATTGTGGCCCTCAAATGGCACAACTACAACTGCCTTCTATTGTGATACAAATCGATGGTTGCGGTGATAAGACCCTATCACCTGTATCCTCGCGCTCCGAAAGTCCTCTAAGTGAAAGAGCCGGCATAGGACGTTTCTCGCCTCACTTCTATGGACGCAAAGATCAACTGCCATTTACGGACTCCGATGGTCTGTACGATTTTCCATCGTCCGATGGCAAAGGCACCTCGGTGCATACGTTTTCGCATCAGCGTCGCAGTAGCAGCAAAAAACGTGAACGTAAATCCTCCAAGTGCTCGTCGACTCAGTCGCCTACGAAACAACAATTGGATTTGCCCTCCAAAGAGTCGTTGAACACTTCATCCACGCCCAGTAGTATAACACATATTTGCAACAAGCATTGCCATTCACATCACCATCCATGCCCTGCCGTTACGGTCACTACGCGTAAGAGTCCCAAGAGACGTTTGCTCAATCGTCATCCGGTGGCGAGTAGTTCGTCGTCGTCGGAAAGTTTGAACTCAGCCAAGGAGTTGACTGTGAGACCTTTACCCAGGCGTAAGTTTGTGATATCTTGCTTTCTTGGTTAAATTAATTGATTTGTGTGTGTTTTTTTAATTTAAGGACTTAATTCGCCCAATCGTGAGAAGAGACCGCGAAAACAAGAGAGTTTAAGTGAGGATGAGGTTGCTGATGTAAGTTATTGGAATCATGGGACATTGTTTAAATAAATATTTATTTTGTCCTTTTTTCTTTAGTCTATTTTAAGACGCATTTCACCCAGCATTGTTAAGACGGAAGATGAAACGGTCAGACCTAAGTGTAAAATTAATCGCTTAAGAGCTATAGGAAATCAAATAAGGTGGGTTAATGATATGTTATAATTGAATTGAAGTATTTATATAGAATCTTCTATTATACAACTTCTGCAGATTTCTACGACGCTTAGAAAAATCCATAAAAACCCGCGAACGTATTGCCTCACCCTCTGACAGTTGTCCCGAAGAAAATACCGACGATATGGACTCACCACAGGCCTCATCACCGCTACTGCAACCAACATCACCCAGTAAAACACGTTTGGCATTGTGTCGACAAAAACGTCTTCCCAGTGGGACATATGGTATAACAGCGGCAGCACTCAATTCCAGCAATTGGAAGGGCATGGATCGTAGTCTGATTGGAGATGACTTAAATAGTGATTAAGTTTGAAGAAGACATACACACACTCAAAAAACGCGAAACTAAAGTAATGTTTAAAAAAGTTAAAATATTACAAATAATTTAAAATTGTAAATTGTATATAGTTAATTTTTTAAATACCATTAAGAACGAAAAATTTAAGCTCTTAATTAGTAAGTTATAATAAAACTCTCTCTCTCTCTCACACACATACACCCAACTCCACCACACTCACTTATACACTGACGTAATGGAATTGATATTTCTCTTTAGCTCTTTATAGTCGAATTCTATCGGTCACTTTGTGTTATTTACTTCTATTTTTTAGGCTACTAAATTTAAATTTTTCAAATTTTAGTCATTGTAGTTAAATAAAAATTATTTTTGCAAAAAGGCACTTTTTTAGATAAATTACCAGAAAAAAAAAACAAAACCAATTATAAATATGTATGTAGGTATATGTAGTTGTTTAATTGTATGGGTAAAATGTTATTAAAAGAAAATTACCATTAAATTAATGTTGTGACAAATTTTTACTTCAAACATTAGATAAAAACACAAAGGAACACTTTTTTTATTACAAGTAGAATATTCTTTTGACAATTCTTTATTTAATTAGTCGGTATATAGTTGATGATTAAACCCAGATATTCTTAGGTCCCGGTAAGAAGTTTCCATAAACTCGTTCTTTCATTTTACAATTTTTGAATGAATTTGTAACTGTCAACATTATAACCCATTTATTCTGACAAAAATCCACTATTTGGTGAAGATATTTGGTCATTACTTTTAGATATTTTGAACAGAATTGGATGTTATGAACTCCAAGGTCATGTGGTTTCAATAAAGATGGCGCCACCTGTCACACAGTTTAAACCGCATTAAATATTATGTTCGTGTGATTTGAAGGTATGGTCATCTCGCATATGAATAAGGCATTAAGATCGTACCCTTTGACTTTTCTTAGAGAGTTTTCTTAAGTACGACAATTTGAGACATTTTGAGACTATATAACCAATTCCAGCAAGCGATATATCCTACTTTAATATAGATGAGTCCATGTAACACACCGCTACATAGACTAGCAAAGCCGTGAACCTTGAATGTAAGAGTGAAAACTCCTCCAAACAACTAATCTTTAAAATTGATCCTTATGGAAAAAAACATTGGGATTAAATGTTTTTAAAATTGTTAAGAGACTATATAATGATTCCACATATTAGTCAATATGCCGATCTATAGATCCACAGCTTTAGACGTTTACCTTTGAATGTGACTATGTAAATGTCGAAGTGTCTTACGTGAACACCTGTCATGTTGGCCTTATTTCACAATGGTACTTTTTCTAACCACTGGGAGAACTGAGTAGAAGACTCACCACCGCCCATTTGTGCTTCTTACACGCAGGTGGCAATTTGTGTACATAGTTCTGCCTCTTTTTAGTCGGCAACAGCACCTAGAGACGTATTCCGTAGACCGAAACACGAATCCATTAAATAAGCCGAGGACAGAGAATACACTGTGGTAATTCTGGTATGAACAGAGTAAATCGTGAACATAACTGAACAATGAAGAAATATTCAATGGTAACACTTATAAGTATACAATCAAACCAATGAATGGTATAAGATACCATGCATCCATCACCATTCAACTCAGCATACTTCCCATTCATTAGACCCATAAAGAACAACATTCAATACACTTACTCTAGATACATTTACACTTACATTTATCCTGTATCATATACAAATTAAACCAACTCATTTTGAACACTTAGTCGCACAGTCACTCCACTGTGGGAGTGCATCAGTCTTTTAACCGACATTCTCTTCCCGCGAATTTGGGTTTAAACCAAAGCCACCACGTGTACCCCAAAGGAATCTCTCCAATAACCGGCACAAGAAAAAGTCCGAAATTCTGCCCTACGGGCTACCGGTTCCCGTGGTACCGGTTAATATGGTTCTCTGGTTCGACCCCATGGCAAATCAATCCAAGGAATGGCCGAGGATACCATTGATTATCACCTGTGTTTAGTCCCGGCATACTAGAGGTACAGGTAACACTTTTTCCCCGGGATTGTAATCACACCAATATGGGGTCATTCATCAAGGTAACATGCCCCTGGGGAAGAGAATAGTACAGTCTAAATGAGATTTTAATCCAAAATTCTTCAATGAAGATGCCACCACCAACTCCATTCGTTATCTTGAATCCATCTATATACACACGGAAACAATTATTAAACGGAATGAAGAACTCTTGAGACTCCGTAGAGATGTGATAATGAATTGTCTCGAAGGATACCAAGGAAAGGCCGAGCACCTCTTTTATCCCGGGATTGCAATCACACCAAGGTGAGGTCTTTCATCAAGGTATCATGCCCCCTGGGTAAGAGAATAATACAGTCTAAATGAGATTTTAATCGCAAGTTCTTTAATGAATATGCCATCACCATTCGTTATCATTGATCTATTTGTATACACACGAAAACAATTATTAAACGGAATGACGGACTCTTGAGACTCCGTAGAGATGTGATAATGGAATTGTCTCCAAGGAGACAGCATGACCCTTGACAACAGCCTCAAAGAGCAAATTAACATTTTTAGGTTTGTACCCCAGCATTTAGCATGTGCTAATGGACCATCATCAGACCTATGGCTTTTGATCTTCCAGAGAGTATAATCCTGCTTCATAGCAACTTTCTGTCTAGGATAACGATCAAATATTTCCGCTATCGGAAAGCCTTAATACTTCTCCGTTTAGCCGAGGAAAAGGATAAATACGAATCTTGGATCGTTGGCATAGCCAATCGTTTTAAAACCAAGAGAGTTGGTTTTGATAGGTCTTTACGTTGCTTACATTTAAAACTTGGAATCGCTTAATGAAAGGGTCTATAGGCTTTAAAGATTCTAGGTATCTTTAGGTATTCCGCATCTAAAAAAGAACTAGTAATACAAGTCTTATTTCTTAGAATTTTATTCAATTTTCTCCACATTTCATAAACGTTACCGCAGTGTTACAAGTTTTGATTTTTCTGAAAGAATTGGAAAAAAATCATTGTACGGATTTCAGCGATTAGTGATATGACAGCCTAAGAAGTAAAAATATTGCTGTTACTGTCAGATCATGAACAGTTTTTTCAACGAATCTGAACGTTTTGTTCATGTTTGGATATTCACTTTAGAATATTCGGGTAACCTTGTTACTTATTTTGGATATCGGTCTAAATATGCCTTAGACCGTTATTTAAGAATACACCCATGGAAACTTCTTACTAGCTTATACTTTTAAGGGATGGGTTGTAATGATTACACAAAGTAATTTATTGACCATGTAATTACAATTGCTTGTAATGTGTAATTGAGCAATAACCAATTATAATTACTTGTAATTGTAATTGAAGTTTTTCCAATTACAATTATTTGTAATGTATAATTGACCAATAACCAATTACTTTTACTAAATGTAATTGTAATTGAATTTTGAAGTTTCCAATTAAAATTACTTGTAATTAAAATTTAAGTATAACTAATTACAAATTACATCTAATTATAAGATACAAATCTCACAATTACAAGTAATTGTAATTGGAAATTCTTCAAATTACAATTACAAGTAATTGCATTTGGCAAAACTTCCAATACATGGGGTGTAATGATTACACAAAGTAATTCATTACATGGTCAATTACAATTGCTTGTAATGTGTAATTGAGTAATAACCAATTATAATTACTTGTAATTGTAATTGAAGTTTTTCCAATTACAATTATTTGTAATGTATAATTGACCAATAACCAATTACTTTTACTAAATGTAATTGAATTTTGAAGTTTCCAATTAAAATTACTTGTAATTAAAATTTAAGTATAACTAATTACAAATTACATCTAATTATAAGGTACAAATCTCACAATTACAAGTAATTGTAATTGGAAATTCTTCAAATTACAATTACAAGTAATTGTATTTGGCAAAGCTTCCAATACATGGGGTGTAATGATTACACAAAGTAATTCATTACATGGTCAATTACAATTACTTGTAATGTGTAAGTGAGCAATAATCAATTATAATTACTTGTAATTATAATTGAAGTTTTTCCAATTACAATTACTTGTTATGTGTAATAGACCAATAACTTCATTTACATGTAATGGTAATTGAATTTTTGCCAATTACAATTACTTGTAATTGTAATTGAAGTTTGCAATTAAAATTACTTGTAATTGAAATTTAAGTCTAACTAATTACAAATTACATGTAATTATAAGGAACAAAATTCACAATTACAAGTAATTCTAATTGAAAATTCTTCAAAATACAATTACAAGTAATTGTAATTGGCAAAACTTCAATTACAATTACAAATAATAGTAATTGGAAAAACTTCAATTACAATTACAAGTAATTGTAATTGGCAAAACTTCAATTACAAGTAATTGTAATTGGTAAAGCTTCAATTACAATGTAATTGTAATTGAAAATGTATTCATTACCCGCCCAAGCCTTGATACTTTTATTATTTTCTCCTCTATTACATGTAGCGTTCGCATAATCATCTAAAATTAATGATCATCATTGATCATTAATGAAAACCCAAAAACATATATAATGTAGATAATGAGAATAGTTTTAATTTTTTTAGTATGTAAACAAACGAAAAAATAATAAAATAAACAAAAATGGTGTGCTCAACAATTTGCGCTGTGTTTGTTATTTAAAGAAAAAAAATTAAAAAAAAAATTAAAATTAAATCCTAATTTCATTGGATAGATTTGTAACAACTAAAGGAAAACCAAATAAAACATAAAGAAATTTCCAAACAACATAAACCAAACAATCATACTAAACTTATGAAAAACTTATAATTCCCACAAACAAATAAAACCGTTTCAATTATTTCTATGAAAATTTTAATGTAATAAAAGTAAAGTTTTGAAACTTTAACAAATTAAAGTTTACTGTCCTTATAAAAATTACTTTAGAAATTCAAGTTTTTCAATAATTTATTTCGACATCCCCATACAAACCTTATAACTAACATTTCACACCAAAAAAAAAAAAACAAATTCTAAAATTTTACCAAATGAAAAAACCCTTTCACCTAAAACCTCTAAAGAAAATATATAATACCAACTAAAAGCCATTCTCAAAACTTTATACAAAAAGCAATATCTTAGAATTATGTAAAATAAATAAATTATAAAAATTAAATTACCAAAAAAAAAACAAGAAAATGCACAATATTTCTAAAAAAAAGTAGCACTAATTACAATTATAAAATTTAAACCAAAAAAATAAATAAATAAATAACTTACTGCTTAAGAAACCCATCGATGAATTAAAAAATTTTTCAAATAAAACAAAATTTTTAGTTGCTTTCAAAATGAAACCGTAAATAAACCTTCAAATCAGACAAAAGATAAAAAACTAAAAAATTTAAACTAAATTTAGTTTAATATTTAAAGAAAATATTTAAAAAGTTAGGCAAACTAAAATATAAAAAAAACACATTATTAAGATGGCTTGTATTGAGACTGATTTTATAATTAAATTAAAATAAATAACAAAAAATCGAAAAAATATATATTAATTTATAAAAAAAAAAAAAAAAAATCAAAATAACTTATGAACTAATTATTAATAATATAAAGAAGAAAAAACCAAAAAAACATGTTGTATTTTGCACAACAAAAACTTATTCTAACAAAAACAAATATTTTTTTGTTAAATATTATTAAGAAAATGTTTAAAAACAAAATAATGGTTAAAGTAAAATTATTAATAACAGGCTTGGGACAATTACATTGCTTTAGCAATAATTGTAATTAAAGTTTTAACAATTGAAATACCAGTATTTACCTTTGATTATAGTTGTAATTACTTGTAATTGTAATCATTTGTAAACGTAATTACTTGTAATTGCTATATATTAATTGTACTTGAAAATACTTACTTTAAATGTAATTATTACTTTGTAATTGTAATTATTTGTAATTGTAATTATTTGTAATTGTAATTACTTGTAATAGCTATTAATTCCAAGTACTAGTAATTGAAAATGCTTCAATTACAATTACTGTAATTGTAATTGAAAATACAAACTTTGAATGTTAACATTACATTTTCTTTGTGATTGTAATTGTAATTAGTTGGAGTCGTAACTACTTTATAATTGTAATTACTTGTAATTGCAATTACTTGTAATTGATAATGCTTCAATTATAATTACTTTAATTGTAATCATTACATTTTCTTTCTATTCATTACTATTTCTAAATTCAATTACAATAATGCTTCAATTACAATTGCATTAAGTGTCCTTGAAAAAAAAAATGTAATTATTACTTTGTAATTGTAATTGATAATGCTTCAATTATAATCTTTATATTCATTACTATTTCTGAATTCAATTACAATTATATATAATAGTAATAGGTATTAATTCAATTACAATTACAAGTAATTGGTAATACTTCAAAGTACCATGTAATATAATGTAATCATTACATTTTCCTTCTATTCATTACTATTTCTGAATTCAATTACAATTATATATAATAGTAATAGGTATTAATTCAATTACAATTACAAGTAATTGGTAATACTTCAAAGTACCATGTAATTAATTACTTAATTTAATCATTAATTAATACTATGACAATTAGATATTGAATAAAATTGCTTTAAAAATAAAATAATTGTATTCCAAGTTTTACCAATTACAATAACTTGTAATTGAAGTTTTAACAATTACAATTAACTGTATTTGTTATTAAAGTTTTAATAATTTCAGTTAATTGTAATTACTTGTAATTGTAATTAGTTGGAAACGTAACTACTTTATATTTGTAATTACTTGTAATTACAATTACTTGTAATTGATAATGCGTCATTTACAATTACTTTAATTATAATTGAAAATACTTACTTTTAATGTAATTATTACTTTTTCTTGCTATTCATTACTATTACTTTTTGGACTTATGAGCTGTTTTCAATTACAAGTAATAGTAATAGGTATTTATTTAATTACAATTACAAGTAATATGTAATACTTCACTTGCAAGTAATTGTAATTATCCTCGTAATTAATTATTTCACGTGATCATTAATTAATACAATGACAATTACATTGTGAATAACATGATTGTAATTACTTGTAATTGTAATTGGTTGTAATCGTAACAACTTTATAATTTTAATTACTTGCAATTTATAATGCTTTAATTACAATTACTTTAATTAACTTCAAAAGTAATCATTATTTTTTTATTCTATTCATTACAATTACTTTTTGTGAATTATAAACTGTTTTCCATTACAAATGCAAGTAGTTGTAATTGTTTATGTAATGAATTACTTAATGGGATCATTACAAAACCCCCAAGCCTGTTTAATACACATATACAAACATATATAATTTCCATATTTAATGCCACACACACATGGAATTTTTCACAATTTTACTCATACATAAACACTATCAAATTTTTGCTTTCTGGAAAATATAGCAATTGAAATTTTATAGCATATTTTAAGATGAAAATTACCAGCTGGGCCCATGGGGGTCGGTTGCGAAAAGTTCCGTATATTTTTATTATAAAAGTAAATAAACCCGGTCTGCGTTAGTATGCCTAATTTTGACCCATAGGTATAAGTGACTAAAAATTAAAACTGCGATGTCATCTATTGGGAAAAAAGTCTACAGGAATACTTTTCGTTATCCCTGGAACATAAATTGGAAATGTTTTCGTATTATGTGCCATAGTAAAAGTTTTCCAACTATCGAGAATAAGATAAGTTCTGCCACAACTATATACTAGAGAAGTGCAATGAATGCCCACTAGTTCCTTAAAGTAGTAATAGAGATCATTCTGAATTTATAACCAACATGTGGAAGTTCAAATGATACTTTCCCACCATATCAACTTATTGAAATGTATATCAAAACAAATATATGTATGGGAGTCCTCAATATTAGGGGCTTTTTTTAATCACCGGATTTATTTTGGATTTATTTTATTTCAAGAAAAGAACTATCTTTGGAGGCTGAAATTTAGTTTTGGTTATAATTATCTGAAAATACACTGTATAAGCTAATATAAGGTCAAAGAAAAATTAATTTTGGTGTAAAAATGGCGGTTATGCTGCTAAAAGAAGTAAATCTAATTTGGATTTATTAAATCCAAAAAAATAGTTGGATTTAGCTAATTTCAATATGGCAATGCTATGTATTCATAGGTCAGAACCAAAATAATTTTAAAATAAATTAATTTGTTTTATTTTGCTATTCACCAATGGATGGCAAATATTTTTTAAAATGTGTAAAAATAGGAAAATCAACAAAATTCATGTAACTGAAATATTTAACACATGATATTTCAGTGAAAATACCAATTTTTGCAACAAATTGTTACAAATTTTATGGAAAATTTATGATTTAAATATTAAGTTTTGAAATAACTCCATCTGTTGGCCGCTGCTGACATTATGATTTGAAATTTGTTTAGCCTCGATTAAAACCTTTTGCCTTTTCTACCTGGCGTACAGTGCCAGAACTAAAATTTGGATTTAATAAATCCAATTGTTTAAAAAATTCTGCTATTATATATATTTTTATAGGGTATATAGGTACCCCTTCCTTGTAGCAAAACTTTTACACTTTTCAGCAACATAATGCTTATAAATCAAACGTTCAAATGAATGCGAAATTATTCGATTCATCAAAATGATTAAAGTCGAAAACCAAAATATAGTTTTCGAGGGGTGCGAAATGCAGAAAATCCGAATATATCCTAAGAATTTGAGAAGTTATAAGTGCTGGAAAAAACTTTATCTAAATGTCCAAACTTTAACTAAATGCTTAACCTTGTTTATATCTTTACTCTTCATCGACTTACTTTTAATCTTAAAATTTATATCGGAATAACGATATATCTGGAAATAGAGGAGATTTTAAACAATTCGAAAAGTATTTTTATAAAATATATTAAAACTTTTCAAATATGGGAAAAAGACACGGTATCTTGAATGTAATGTGATGGTGAAATTATGAATACCGATACAGAATCAGCGTAACATCAATGTTGGCCTGTATTATCTAGGTTTTCTTTAATATCTGCTAAACAATATATAGGAGGATCGACCCAACTGATCCTATAGAATATCACATACACAGAGGGAAAAGAAATATACACGCCTGGTACCAAATTGACACCAAACTGTTTATAATTTTTCAATAACATCCGTTGTCAAAGTACATACATTCATACGAC